TATATATATATATATATATATGTGTGTGTGTGACTTTCTTTTTTTAAAAGTTCAACATATAATACATTTGAACTATTTTATATAGTAAACATATAAATGGAAGTAAATTCAAAGGTGTTGTATTTATTCTGTCTGTTAGGTACCCATCTGTGTGGCCTCTGTCCTTACTGGCACTGCGGACAGCAGCACACGCGCTGTCGTTTCCACGTAAAGCACCAAGTGGGCATGGTCAGGACATGGGTGCAGCAGTGCCAGAGGAGTTTCAGTCGAACCAGAGTCAGAGTTCTTTGTTAGGACACATTTTCCGTAAACACGTCAAGCCCAAGAAGCAGCACGAAATCCGCCGACTAGGCACGGTATGGGTACATTATACTGCATGTAATGTCAATGTGGAAAGATTCTGAATGCCGTTATTAAAGAAATATGACTCCATTAAGACTATTTGATAATCTAAAGATCATTTAAAATGTATTTTTTTCCTGCTGAACTGTCTTTCTTAGCTGGTCAAGAAGTTGTGTGATCAGGCTAACTGTAGCTGTGTGTTTGATGTTGGGTCTGGACAGGTACAAGTAATGTCATGTTTAATTTTATTATTGTAAAAATGCCAGTCTTTAAATTATAAATATGCAAATTATTCACTTTAATTGGATCCATCCCTCCAGGGCCATTTGACACGGTTTCTGTCTTTTGGACTCGGCCTGGATGTCACTGGAATTGAGGCTGACCCTAACCTTGTTTTCATGGCTACCAAATTTGATAGACAGCTTCTATTGACACTCGCCAAAGAGAATCAAAAGGTATTACACTCATGAAGTATTCTATTAAATAATCTGTTAATTATGTATTTTCTATTTTGTAAACATTGTTTTGATATTACATAAAGATTGATACACACACATATAGCTTGCATTATCACTCAGACCATGTTTTGTGAAATTATTTTTTATTTTATTTTGCATCTTAACTGTTAAACCACAGGTTTTCTCATCATTGTCTCTGTTGTAGTCAGGAAATGCTCAAAGTCTTCATTCTGCACCTGGTCCTTCTTCTCGTCATGTGGTGGGCTGGGTCAACCCAAAGGCTTCATGGGATGTCTTCATTCAACAGCTTGGTGTGACAGCAACTGAAAGTGACAGTATTGGAGCAACCACTGGGCCATATGAAAAGAAACAGCTGGTGGAGGAGCTGAATCTAGAGCCGCATTCATGCCAAATCAAAGCAGAAGAGTTACAAAATACATTGCCGACTCAAAAAACTGACATCAATACTTCAGACTCCGTAGCCCAAATAAACACTGGGGTTTTCCAATTAGGGATGGTGACCGAAATGCTTACCTGTAAAACCATACCAGTTACTGATTGTGGTGCCAAAAAACCTGGTCGCTTTGTACTCACCGGTCTTCATGCTTGTGGAGACCTTAGCTCTACACTTCTGCGTCATTTCGCCACCTGCCCTCGCGTTCAGGTCATCACATCTGTCGCTTGCTGCTACATGAAAATCTCAACCCAGGAGAACCCAAACCCTCCTGGCGTTTTCCAGCCCCCATTTTCTGCAGACACTGTGGCGGATTCCAGTTTAGAATTTGGTTATCCGATGAGTGACTGGGTACGTGGATTACCAGGGCACCAGTTGTCTTATAAGGCACGAGAGGGAGCGTGTCATGCAATAGAGGACTATCTCCACCGACTGAGAGAGGAGAGCGGCTTACTGAGGACACACTGCTACAGAGCCATCTTAGAAAACATCATCAGAGCGGAGAGGCCCGATATGCGCAGACCAGGAGTTCAGAGTGTTAGGAAAGCCCACGCACTGTCATTTTCAGAGTTAGTGCCTTTATTGTTATATTTAAGAATAATAATATCTTTAAAGGGGGTGAACTGCCTCTGTTTATTATTTTGCACTGTTCTCTGAGGTCCGCTTATAGTGTTATCAAGACTTTTTACATCAAAAAACATAATTTTGAAACAATAGGCAGTTTTCTGTACTGTTTTTGACCCCCTTCATCAGAACGCTCTGTTTGAATAGGCGTGGAGGATTGTAGACTCGGAAGTAAACGCCCACTGCTATGATTGGCTAACACCTATGTTTGACAGCCTACATCCTTCACAGATGGACGCTGTTGTGTTTTAGGTTAAAATCGCATACATACTCATATCAAACGATCTGTTTAACAGACAAAGCAATAGTGACCACGTAATAAAAACAATTACACTTGTTTGTTGTAACAGTAATATAGTTGGCACAGCATCGTCTTTTAGTTTCAGTCTTTCTGAAGATCCTGCGTCGAATTGTGCCTTGTTTGTAAAAGAACCTGCGGTAAAATGAAGTGAACAGAGTTCTTACTGACGTGGTCTTTAACTTCATTAAAAATAAAGTTCATCCACTTTTTCCTAATGTTGGGATCAGATGGAAGGCAATGTAAAGAAATTTTTTTGCCACAAGTTGGCACTGCACAGTGTCTTGTTGTCTTCAGAGCCATCTTTATCATTTGGTTTCTGCATAGACCTGCGCATTCGCCTCTCTCGTAAACACTACATGCACGAATCGGTAGGCGGGGGATAAACAGGCTTCGATGTACAAGCAAGCGTTGATCTTCTGCTTCTCCACACTATTACATCATACAGTATGTTTACATGGACAACAATACTCTGATTTTAACACTATTAAGACAATACGCTGATTAAGAATCTATGTAAACGCAGTCATAGAGTACTTTTGGCAGACTGCCTTCAATATTAGCTGTTTTTAGACTGACGAGAAAGTTTTGAGTTCTGAAACTTACATGATGTTTTTATAGTACAATGACCTCTTATATGGGAAAAGGTCAAGGGAATTTTGGTTTCCCAGTTCATGACCCCTTTAAAGAACTGGCGTATATGTGACTCACCCCTGAGCTTCAGTTCCTGGAACAGGAAGGACTTGAGAAACTAGTTCAGTAGACTTATTAAATGAAATAATCTAAATCTCTATGACACGTGTTAAACTCATATTTTCAAGTACATCTGAGATACTAGACAGCTGCAATATAATTTTATCTTTTGTTTTATCACAGGTATGCTCGTTTGGCATTGCCACGGGTGGGCCTACCTGCTGATCTCCCATTTGACCCTGTCACTGTGGATGCAATGCTAGCGCACCAGGGTAAAGTGGTGGCGTACTTCAGCCTGGTTCTTCTCCTCGCACCTGTGGTGGAAACTCTAGTGTTACTGGACAGAATGATTTTCCTGCAGGAGAGAGGTAAATAATGCAGAGCCAGTCACTCATATGAAGAGCTGAAAATGACCAAATTAGCTTTTTTTTGCTGTATTTTTTCTGACATGTTTGGTTATGTAATTAAAATATACATTTTTTAAAATTATTTTATTAATATTATTAATTATTTGTATATTGTGTGTGTGTTTTTACAGAGATAGACATCTCAAAAGTTTCATTAACTTAATGATTAATCTATTAATATTTATCATTTATTTACATGACTTTTCTAGTCAGTTGTGATTACAGCTATTTTTTTACTCAAAAATATCAGTATCTACAAAATAAAATATTTTAGATCTTGGCGTAACTTATATTCAATAAAGTTTCCATGATCACTTTTCTTAGGTGTAGAAATCAGTCTTTCAAAATTCCCTTATTGCATAATTAGAATTCATCTTTGTTTTTTTCATATTTAGGTTTCCAGAGTAAACTCATCCCACTCTTTGATGCTGCTTTTTCCCCACGAAACCTGGTACTGGTGGCCGTCAAGCCCAAAGAAGCACAGAGCTGAATTAAATAACATACACCAAGATATTCCAATCCAAGTTCTGAATCACAACCACATAATTAGATTAACAGTAACATTTTATGAATAAAATGCCATTAAATGAACCGTCACACAAACCATCTGACATTTGAAAACTGAAATTAGAGGTCTGATTTTCCATTTTCCAGAGTGAGCCATTAATGGCTCATTGTCAGTCATTTCTTCCCGTCATGCTTTCCTTCACTTAGAAACAAAAACTCTCACATTTTAAATGAGATTTTGTCTGAATAGGAGAGGAAAATTCTTCTTTTAAATTCGAAATTTTAATATGATTTTAATAGTTTTTAACTCTATTAAAGACATAAGACGCTCAAACTGTTTTGTGGTTTTTTTATTTTATGTAATTGTTTTTAAGGCACTGGATTTATATTACACTGGGCAAAGTTGCTATAGTCTATGGTTCATCTCTATTACAAAAGACATATTCAGACCCAGAATCTACTGTATGATCGCAGATATATGAATGTTCTATTTGTAAATAAAAACATAAAACACTTAATTAAAAGGCTGACATGTCTTTTTTTAACCTATAGATGGCACTCTTAATATAAAATCGGGTCAAACCTTCAAAGACAGTATTGTAAAGCCCCCATGATATTTCTAGTATGTAAAGTATGCTGCAGTCACAGAGACTCATTTCTTTGCTCATTTCAACTAGAAGTGTTGATGTATTAGAATGGTTCAATAAAGTAATTTAATTAACCATTTAAATCCATAATACATTTACATTGTTTTTCAGTTAATTTACATGACTTTTCTAGACATTTGTGATTACAGGGTTTAAAACTCACAAATACACTTTTTACCAAATAAAATATTTTAGAGGTCAAAGTTTCATTAAAATGTAAAGATCTTTTAGGATTTGATTTCCGTGACGTTTCCAGGTCTGGAAATCACTCTTTCAAAATTCCCTCATATTTAGGTGTTTCAAGACAGTGCGAATCCTGCTGGTTCTTTAGAATAAATTGTCATGGGAACAAACAGAAGAAATATAATGTCAGTTTAAATCTTGATAATGTATTTTAGCTTATTTTACGCTTGTTTTGTCTTATTGTAAATCATTTTAAGTAATATTGTGCCCTTCGGTTGAGAACCACTGGCTCCAAACAAAACATTGCATCTTGTGCACACTTGACGGTTCACTTCCACAACTGTACTTCCATATTTCATACACACACATATTGTCTGCATATCACTAGAGTCTTTATTTCTGATCAATAACATTTACAAAAATGTCACACAGCTGAAGAGAGACATGGAAAAACATTAATTCTTCATGCTCTCTACAAAGAACTCATTACATGCTACTGTGAGAGCAGCCACCAGCACAACAAACTCCTGAAAGTCCACTTCTCCATCCCGGTTCTCATCCAAATCAGACATGATCTTCTCCACAACCATGGGGTCTTTACTTGCCTACAACAGGACACAGTTATTCTTCCATTATGCATGCGAGACATTAATATTACTAAACGTTAATGCTACTTAATATGGCTAAAACTTACTGCTAAAAAGTCACTGAGTTCTCCCTGAAGCAAACTCTTGAGCTCGGCTTTGCTTAGCTTGTACTTGTCTCCTTCTTTGGAAGAGTATGTGTGGAACACTTTAATCAGGCCTTCCATTGCTGCTTCCAGTTTTGAAACCATGTTGTTGTTTTTCTCTTTAGAAAATATACTCTGGAAAAAAAGAAAAACATTTTGCAGTCTCCAAGTCTAACAGTCCACATGTGAACACCGGAGGATCTATGCTGGTGTTTTGGTGGAATACATGCTCAAATTCATTTGAATGCATTGTCTGTATTCAATAAAAGCACATTTTGTGAAAATGCATAGCCCTTTTCGATTCTTAAAAGCATGTACTGTTTGCACAGACACCTGCTGACCCCAGGGGCCCCACCATCTCCCCAAGAATGGGGTTACACAGCCACTGGGGAATCTAATATCTGTGAGTGAACAGGCCTTTTGGCACTGGCAGGCTGATGACAATCATGAGGGAGATGGAAGACAGGTATACATGAATTATTCAATTAGGCTTTTTTATGCACTGAAGGCTTATCCACCATTAAGGCATGTAGGCCTTTAATATTATACTGCTATTAAATCTAAAGTCTCATATAGAAGAAAGTAACATTGAATGAGAAATTAACATCAAAACATTTAGACTGTAAAACAATCCACAAACGCGCTAATGAACAATAACTTTCCATCAGCGCTCTTAAAGTGAGTTTAATTAAAGTTAGTAGCCTACAAGAATTAGGGCATTAGAAGTAGGCTTATGTAGTAAAAACTGTCTTATTCGTATTACATGAAGAGTTATCTATGTGCCAAGTAATATTTTTAAATGAAAGGGTCTCATTACATGCATTAACCTTTGACATCATTAAACAGTTATATTAAAGTGACA